TGTCCGGCCGGAGCGACGAGACAAAAACATGAAAACCCATTATAAACGAGGCATTTGTTGCATCCAGTGGGGACATAATTACTGATTATAATGACTTATGTTGTCTTTTTACACGTTGCGTTGCATCGCGCCGTGTAAACATAAAACCATGTCTGCATTTGTGATCGGAGAAATGACAAACAACAAGTGCTATTCTACACTGCTCAAAACTCTTGTTTGAATCATCAGTGGCAAATTCTTTAAAAATAAAAAACGTACTTACGTGAGTCAGGACTGCCGGCATTGTAGTCTACTCTCCCAGGATCAGGACACAGTCCTCCATAAAATGCGCTGCACACATCTGAATATTTGGGTTGAAGTGTTCTGGAACAGTGTTGTAAACACAACTTAACCACTGATTTCTAGTCGTGTTCTCTTTTGGAAGACCAAACAAAGTAGTTTCGCTTTCACAATGAAGCACACAGCGCCTTCATGACATTGCGGCGGTGGCAACAATAATACAGCGAGACTAAAAATTACACCTTCTTTTTTTGCGTGAACATTTGGCCGGCGTTATGCAAATCTTCCCACATAGTGAGGTAGACATGTGGGGGTGTGTTAGAACGAGCTGTTTTAGCCGTCTTAACTTTTATAAAGAATATCTCTTTGGGTTTGAGACTTTAGTCTTTGCAACTTTAGGGATCTTATCTATTCACGAACGGCTTGTAACACTCCAAAGAAAAAGTAAAACTAGAAATCGCATCATATGACCCCTTTAATCGTGCAGCCCTACAAATATCACTCAGATTTTCTGCAGAATGCACAAATGCTGTTCTTTCCCTCTTTTGGCATCTAAAGCCAAACTCAGGCGTCGAGTCTCTCGTGTGTGTGTTTCCTCTCAGGAACATCGCGCGTGTGGTCAGTCAGATCCACGCGTTTCAGGAGCATCTCTATTCCTACCCTCCCGACCTTGAGCTGCAGGCGTACCTGCGTGAGCGACTTGCACGCTTCGGCAGATGTGACATCCCGCTCCTCGCCTCCGACAACCACACCAACTTCATCCAGACGCCCGCCACTCGCCGGATCCACGACACACTGCGTCGTGTCAAAGCGTCTTTCCAGTGACCGGCACAGATGAAGAACACCGCTGGAAGTCACATCTGGAGACTCCAGACTTCTCCGTTTGAGCACTGAGGAGAAATGAAGATGCTCACAGTCGCTCTCTGTACGGAGGCTGAGGAGGAGTTAGGAGTAAAACGTGATCATTTTCCTCTAAATACTGTGAAAGCACAAGACATGGGAGTTTTAGTTGCTGGATTCCCTCATTTTAGGATGTGGAGGTGTTTTCTCATCTTTAACTTCAGCCTTAGCCCGTTTTGGTTTGATGGATGGTTTTCTTCAAAGAACAAAGACTTTTAGTTTTGTGTTTAAGATTTTGGACAGCTAAACATCCAAATGTGACCCTGGACCACAAAACCAGTCATAAGGGTCAAATTTTCCAAAATTGAGATTTATATATCAACTGAAAGCTGAATAAATAAGCTTCCATTGGTGTATGGTTTGTTAGGATCGAGACAATATTTGGTCGAGATACAACTATTTGAAAATCTGGAATCTGAGGGTGCAAAAAAATCTAAATATTGAGAAAATCATCTTTAAAGTTGTCCAAATGAAGTTCTTAGCTATGCATATTACTAATCAAACATTAAGTTTTGATATATTTACAGTAGGAAATTTACAAAATATCTTCATGAATCATGATCTTTACTTAAAGGGTTAGTTCACCCAAAAATGAAGATTAGGCTGCGTTATACTCACCCCCGAGGCATCCTAGGTGTATAT